AAGGGAGGGCAGTGAAGGGAGGGCAGTGAAGGGCGGGCAGTGAAGGGCCGGGCAGTGAAGGGCCGGGCAGTGAAGGGCCGGGCAGTGAAGGGTCGGGCAGTGAAGGGCCGGGCAGTGAAGGGTCGGGCAGTGAAGGGTCGGGCAGTGAAGGGCCGGGCGGTGACGGGCGGAGCCCCCCCGGGCACTCCCCGACCCCGCCGCCCGCCCGGGGCGGCGCGAGAGCGACACCTGCCGCCCGCCGCGGGCACAGCGGCCCCGAGCGGCCCCCGCGCGTCCTGCGCGGCCAGCGGGGTGCGGGGGTCACGCACAGCCCCTGCCCCGCCGGACCCGTCCGCACTCTGCCGGGGCCGTCAGCAGGCGGCGGTGCCAAGCGCCCCTTCCGTCCCAACCTACGGCCTGCGGTTAATTATGGCAGGATGTGCACCCTGCCCTGCACTCCTCCCAAACCTCGCTGCCCACGCTCATGGCGAACACAACAAGATGGTGAAGAGCCCTTGGGCTCTCAAAAGGAAGGGGACAAACCCATAATCTGGATGTAGCACATTTAATTATGTGTGTGTGTGTGTGTGTGTGTGTGTAAAATAAATACATAACCCCAAAATTTTTAAGCTGATCTTGATTCTAGAGTCAGGGGTTTACAATTTTTTGAACGCCTTGCATTATCAGTATCCTGTTTTCTCTTAAATATGTCCTTTCAAAAGTAGCTAATTCAGGCTAATTCAGCTAATATCAAAGGATATAAATGTGCAATTTCTCAGCAATTTGAGATCTATTCTCTTTTTTGCAGCGAGAGCATTAACTACAGCCCTAGCCTATATTAAAGCCTCCCTTGCTATTTCCCTTCCCAACTTTTCAGTGATGTATTTCTGTTACTGGATATAAATTCTGAAAACATGGTCTCTGCTTGGAAATTACTTTGTTTTTCTTTTTAGTTTGAACTGTCAGCTCAGCTGCTTGCGAGCCCAGAGTGAATGGAAAACAAAATTCTTTGTTCATTCCAAAGAAAGTCATCTCTCGCGACCTGTTTTGGAAATGCCAGAACATCAACACTGCTCTGGTAAAAGCACTAAAGCCTAGGGTGGGAATAATCTCCCAGAGTTTTGGAGCATTCCTGGGAAAGCTGGAGTTTAATCAGGCCAAGCATGGCCCTTTCTCACAGACACTCAGGGTTTCTGGAGCAGTGTGCTGTTTTTCCACCATGGCATGCTGTTCCCAGTCAGGGAGGCCATGCTCATTATACGGGAAGCTTGCCGAGCCGCATACTGCAGTGAATTGAAAGGCTGCAGCAGAGAAATAATTTATGGCAAACAGAGAACATGGACATTATTTGGATGAATATACTCTCAGGCAGAGGGCCAAGCCTTCATGGTACACATACGTCTTTATCTACTGTTCATATCTACTGTTCAAATGCAGCCCTGTCGTGCTTCAGGCATTGAATGCCTGACACGTCGCTGGCGGCTGCAGCCTCGTGCTCCTGGCAGCTGGGGCCGTACGGCAGCAGCCTCCTGTCTGGCTCTGAAGAATGAAACCCTGCAGCGGGAGGGAGGTCACTGTGGAACAAGACAAAAGAAGCCATGTCCCTGCTGTAGCTCAGGAGGAGGCTCTGGGTACAGCCCTGCCACAAGCCCAGCCAGCTACCCTGGGGGAAGTAGGCGTCTCAGCACTTTCATTCTGTGTGTGTAGATTGCCTCGCTGGTTTGCACAGCTTTAGCGCTGCAAGAGCAACCCCCAAGAAGCTCCAAATGCCTGCAGGCACTGAACTCGAGGCTGGTGCTCTGTGATCAGTGCTTAAGGCCCCTGGGGCATAAGCCTCCAGCACTCACACACTTGCTGCTTACAGTGCACAGGCAGTGCACCATCAGTCCTCACTCTGTGCTGGGATGTGAGATGTCAGTGCGCTATTCTGAGGGCATGATGTCCTCCCTAGCTGCCCTCCAGCCCAGACCTGTCCTCTGGCACAGGACAGAAATAGGAAGGTGCTTGCAGAAGTAGTTGTTTTTGAAAGCTGAAGTCTTCTCTGACATGAGGCAGCGTGTGGGCAGCAGAAGAGCAGAGCTCAAAGAAAAGGCAGAAAAAGGTGCAATTTGAGGACCTTAAAAGTAATAAGTATCCTGTCAAGGAGGCCTCTGTTTTAGAGTGCTCTAAATCAATAAATATTTTTGTCTTATTTCCTGAGGAAAAATATGCATGCTCAGGGGGCAAGGGGCTTGTACCCATCACTCACCTTTGAATTCAATTGAATTTAGATAAAAAAAGAGACAGAGATCTCAAGGATATTCTGGGGAACCAAGCAGTGAGACAAAGACCATGCCTACACCTTCCCTAGGAGGAGGTTATAGCCTGAGCCCAAGCCATCTTGGACTTCAGAGGACCCTCACCAGTGCTGCTCCAAGACAGCTTCCTCAGCCCCATCACACAGGCAGTGCCTTACTCTGTCTTTGCTGACTACAGCAAAAAACTGACATTCCCACTCACCCCTCACTAACAGTTTCTCATTCTTGCTTTGCTTCCCCTGCAGCATTTCCCTTTCTCCTGCTCCAAGGCTCCTACAACCTCCTTCACCTTCCTCCCTTACTCCATCTCCCTTTCCACACAGAGACCGAATTCCCTGTATTCCCTTTGTGACATGTCACCTAATCCCTCCACATGCCTGTCACAGCTCCAGCACCTTTCAGGACAATAGCTGCCTTTGGCAGGTGTTCACACCACATCAGTGTGGGGTAGGGATCACAACTGGCAGAGGGGAGGTGCTGTGAACACACCTGAAAGAATCCGATGACTGCCACCTCTGCACCACTGACAAAGGCTTCAGCATCTGCGATGTTGTTTAACAGGATAGGTTTCTCTGTGGTGCTGGCTGTGCCTGGAGAGGAAAGATCTGGGTTGGGCAGAGGGTACACAAAGAGCAGCTCAAAGAGGCTCCCCCAACATACACACAAGCATCCCAACCTTACAAGCTCACCTGAACGCCTCTCCTGCAAGCTCAACACAATGTTTGTGTATACCTTGGATAAGGAAGACTCCTTGCAGCAGACCCCGTGTTTCCCTGAGCCTGGAAGAAAGCTCACTTACTGTGGGATGCAGAGTCAACATCTCCAGCACATCCAGATGGGGAGCATCTGGTAAGTAGGATAACAAAGAGACACAGGAAGACAGACGTGCCCATGGTACCAGCTTGCCTTCTCCTCACCACGCCACTCGCTCCAGTCCTCTCCTTGGCAAGAGACACGTCAGCTGCTACGGGGGCCCACAGCCACTCCTGGGGTTAGTGGGAAAGGAGCAGCTGGCCCAGGGAAAAGCCTTCAGCTCCTGGGATAACTACCTGGCTGGAGAAAGCCCCTCCCTGCTGTGTGGGCACCAGCCTTGGAGAGCTTCACTGGCACTGCCACTGGTACATCCTCATCCACAGCATTGGACATCTCGGCTGCCCCATGCCTTTGTGACCAGGCACCCCAGCTGGGTAAGAACATCCCTCTCCAAGTGGTGTCCAAGCAGGCCGGCCACGGGGACTTGGAGCTCTTGCATTAGCCCTGGGGAACAGCTGCTACGGCAGGTGTTAAACATGAGAAGGCTATTTTATAGCTCCCTGGCTTATTCAGTTGCCATCTGGGATGAGAGGTGGAGGCTGTCTAACCCTGAAGTCTACTCCCTATCACAGCCCAGACTTTGGGCTTCAAAGGATTCATGAAATCCCTGAAGGAAACAGTTCTGAAATTTGCTTACAGAGTAAGGCTGATGTTTTGAAGGAGGAGGGCTATTTCCCTGCTGAAATATGCTCTTAAGCCTTCCTATAATGCATTCTTCACATACATATGACTGAAAAACATACTCTAGAAAAGAAGTGACACTCACGCAAAAAAGAAGAAAGAAACTGGTTTTATTCTTGGGACACCAAAGTCTTATTACAGCAACTAGCTGCATTCCCCCTGACTGGTTTTGCCTGCACAAGGATGGATTTTAACAGGGTAGGAGGGCACCAGATACAGACCAGGAGACCATCATGAGAGGTAACCATTTACAATGAGTCAGAGCACAATGGCAAGTGTAACTCAAGATAGGGATTTTCCAGGGACCAGTCTGCCCTGCCAGGTGATCTTGTTTCCTAGAAAAGGCACTTCCGGGACCGGAGTTCGTACAGGAGGGACGGTGGCAACAGGAGGAAGTATTGGGAGAGAGGGAGGGAGATGCTTCCCAATTTAACCCATTATGTGTCATGATGGGGCGGTGGTGAGAACGGTTGGGTTGTTTTCAGTGTATCAGAAGAAGCAGCAAAGGCCGCCTGCAGGGCTGTGCATCGACCAAGGCTGGCACAGAGCCCCAGCACTCATGTGAAGGGCTGCCAGGGCTGTGGCCAGCCATGGTGGCAGGAAGGAGCAGCATGGTGGGCATGGCCCACCTGGAGACTGGTGCAGGAGGCAAGGGGACAGGAAGGGGGAAGGCAAACTGGGTGAACTCATTCTGTCCATTCCTTCTTGATGGACAGGTTCCACTCCCAGGTGAGATGGTCATGTTTGTCATCATCCGTGAAGAAGGATTTGTTGTGATAGGTGCCTCGAGCCAGCATACCCTTAGGAGCCTCTTCAATAGGTGTCAGGAACTCATATTCCTCTGGCCGTGGCCCGTAGCTGCCAACCATGAATGTGGCTTTGTCCACTAGGAGAAAACAATCCACAGCAGATGAGTCCCTCAGATGGGGAATGGTAAAGAGAGAAGAAGCCATGAGCATAAGTGAAGATCACAGACAGAGAGAAGATGGGAGAGAAAGGGACAGTCCATGTCAGCAAAGGGGAGCAGAATTGGTGGAAACAGTGAGTGAAGCACAAGGACAGCTGGAAGGATAAGATGGGTGGATGGGCAGGTGAACAGGCAACTCAGTTTATACCCTGTCACATCTATATGATGCTAGAAGGGAGTGAGTACACACAGCATATAGCTCAAGGTCTACCTTGATTCCCTATTACTTCTCTTTCCTGATGAGAAGACACCACTTACTTATGTGTGCTGAACAGGATGCTGAAGCCTTAGGGGTGGTTGCATGCAAAAATGCCTGTGGGATGTGTGTGTGCAAAATGGGGCTTTCCTCTGCCTTGTCCAAGCAGACCAGCACTGTATAAAGAGGAGAACCCACCAGCAAATACAGGACCCTACACACAGCAGGAAGCTTTGTAGAGCAGGTCTGAATTTTACCAAGTGCTTCTGAAGAGCTTTCAGGGGATGGGAAGCTTCACACAGGTTGAGCCACTCTATAGGGGGAGGAGGAGAGGTGGAGGGAAGGTGAAGAGCTCGTATGGAGAAGAAATCTGTGGCAAGCACTGTCTAAGCAGAGTCTCTGCAGACTTTGCTGCTGCAGACAGTTTAGCACACAGATAGCAGAGCTGGTTCATACTGAGTTCACATGGGACAAGAAACAATTGTCCTGGGCAACAGAGGTTTATGCATACTGCTGAGAAGTCACCTCCTGCATGGCAGCGCAGGGAGGGACTTGGGACCAAGGGAGCCTCTGTCTCAGCCAAGAGCTGCAGGAACACTTCTTTGAGCAGAGGGAACATAGAGGTAGGAGCCCTGGTGTGTAGGGCATGAAGGACTCTTACTCACCCTTCACCCCTGTCCGGTAGGTGTGCTGCACATATTTCAGTCCTGACACAATGTCCCTGTTTACCTGCAAGAAACGACCAGAAGTAAGTGTCAGGAGAAGGGTTTTAGTTCTGTATCTGCTGATTTTCCCTCTCGTTAGAGACATACCCATCTTGACTCCCTATAGCAGGGAGGCTCAGAACAGGACACATTGTAGAGAGAACTAATACAACTTTTCCATAGGCACCTGGAGACCAACAGCATCCTCTGTGCATCTCCTGCACTTCTCCATCCTTTGCCTGACTTTGAAGCTGACTGGAGCACATCAGTCATGTTCTCAAGACAGGCTGATGAGGACAAAGAAAAATGAAGCAGGGAGTTCCCAGTTAACAATTTTCATATTGAAAACCATACGTGGGTAACTAGTCATCCCTCCAATACAAATGGGTGGGCAAAATTAGCTGAGCACTGTCAGCTGTCCTCTAAGCTCCATGGGGAGCTGGCAAGCTTCTCCTCAAGAGACAGAGGGACAGAGTTTTGTTCATAATCGTTCCTCAAATCTCCCATCAATAGCTTGGATGTATCCCTTGCTGTTCCCTTCCAGCATACACTGCCTTCTTGCAGTGTACACTACTTAATCTGGAAACAAGATGGACAGATCCTTTTATATCACAGGGGAGAATTCACGTGATGCCAGCTCTTACCAGCCATGGGACTGAGGGAGAGAGTTCGAATAACCTGTCTGGCTCCAGATATCCCCTGTCAACAGGGCTCAGATACAGATGGAAACATTTCATAGCAAAAAGAGAGGTGGAGATGTCTCAGGGGACAGCATCGGGGAACATTCATCTCTGAGAGAGCAAACCTCGGAGGAGAAGGGAAATCTGCCCTACAAAACCCAAACTATTAACAACTTCCCTTGTCTGCCTCAGAACTACCTTCCTTCCATTTTTGCCTTCTCTGCCAAGCCTAGCTTTGTCTGAAGCAAATATTTGTGGAGATGATCAGTTCAGTGCTGGATGCCACGCTGCAGCGTGGCCAAGTTTTGTTTTCAGCTGCAAACAGAAGAAATGGTTGACACACTGCTTAATGAGAAATAGGGAGAAATGAGCCCTTTTGGGTATAGCATGACTCAGAAGAACTCAGCTATCTTCAGCCAGATGTCACAATATTAAAAATCCTTTTAATGTGTACAATGAAGCCAAGTAACACTGACTGAATCAGTACTTCACGAAAAGCCATTATCTCTTGTCTTCTCCTCCCTGTCCATTTCCACTTTGTGTGAAGTAAAGGTTTTCTGGTGGCTAAAAAGCCAAACCAAACTCAGCCAAAACTACCCATCTGGCTTTCAAACCACTTATTGTTCACCAGTGTGAGTGGACAGAAATCAATGTCCTCCAAGGGGCGAGCAAACAGAAGTAATTCCCTGGAAATAGCTGTTCCTTTGTTGGGTAGAACAACATCTGAAGCTAGGGAAGCTTCACAAGGGCCCAGATTTTGGGAAGGCATGCTGCCTGGCACTAGTTATCTGATAGACTGCTGCTGACTGGCTTCAGCAACTGATGAGAAGCAACAGGAAGGAAAACAACTCACTCTGAAGTGGATTTTAACTCTGTATTCCACTCCTTCCTTTAATATAAAGGTCTCTTTCTTGAGTGCTTCAATGTCACCTGTAAGGAGAGGATCAAGCCATTAGAGTTGTCACAGCAAGGAGAGACCATGCATGGGAGGGAGGATGGGGCTGGGATTGGTGTTGGAGGTCAGCATCTGTTTGAAGGTTGGCAACACCTGCAAAATGAGTACATGGAGGTCTGTATAAGCAATTGCACCACGAGACCAAATACACAGAAATGCCTGGCTGTAGGTATGTGTCTGTGCCCACATCTGTGAAGATAATGCCTAAACTAACACAGGTCTGGGCACACATACATAAAGATGTTTATGCATACACTTGTTGTTGGGCACCTGCAGGAGTGTGTGCATGCTCCATCTGTGCCCAGCCCTGTCTCGGGTGAGTGGAGCGTGTTTCACAGCTCCTGCCCAGCTTGGAAGGCTGCCTGGGCTCTGCAGGGTTCTGTGTGGCTTTGGTTGAACAGGAAGCCTCTCTGCCTCTCCGGGCCCAGCTTCCTCTCTCTTCAGAAAAGCCCATATAAGGTGAAGCCTGATTCTCTCCCCATGTCCTCAGGAGCCGGAACTGCAGTATTGCTTGATTCTGAAGTTTCAAAACAGCCTGTTACCAAATGCATGCACATCCCTTGTGCTTGTGAGGTCTCATTGAAAGGAAGTAAGCAGAGATGGAGGAGAAACCGAGCTCCTAGAGCAGCCTAGATGAAGAAAAAGACCCTTGATATTTTCCTCTGTTACACCTCCTTCTTTTTTATTCATATGTGGATACCTTAAAGTAAGAAACAGGGCTAAGATACCCTCAGAGTTCCTCTAAAGCCCACTGTAGCATCCCAAGGACAAACTCCCTTTTAAAGCATGCCAGGGCCTTTGCTTGTTCCCTTTCATGATCAAGGACAGAGCCTGTGCCTACCTGTAAGGTCCATAGTGATCGGTCCTGGAGCAGAGTCACATACCAGAGTGAGTCGAGTGACCACCACATTGGGAGCTGTTGGGTCTGTGGGTAGGAAAGTCAGGGGGAAGCTGTCAGCTTGCAAAATTAAATATAATCACAGGGAAATGACACTGA